TCCTGCTGAGAGACTGATACAGGACCTCCTTCTATTATACCAGGATTATGGAAAGCTGAATTTATTCTGTTTTTCTGTGAAGAGTCAGGAAATAGAACTCTGCTCCTTATCCTAAGCAATACTAATTTTGACCTATGATCCTCTCCTTGGTTCAGTATATTCTGTGCTTTGAGTCTGTAAAGGAGTACTAAGATACACCTACCAATTCTTTGATTTTCTTCATTTTAACAGGATTATTCAAAACTTCTCTCTTCTTTTCCTCCTCCCTCTTTCTAAAGCAGAAAAAAACATTAGTATTTTCAAGTAACTGAAATTAGCTTATTTTCATGAAAGATACCAAACAAGTGCAAGCTCTAAAAACATGTAAAGTAGGAAAACAGGCAAGTTTTGTACATTCAGCAAAACAGATCCAACTAAGGAGGAGTCTGCCCTTTTCTTCTCAACTTAAGAGTGCAACTAGTAGGGTAAACAAAAAATTGTTCTGTTACCATCAATCTGCCTACAACGCTAATAAATGCCTGAACTGTCAGAGCAGAACAGATATATTTACATACACAGAAAAGGGCGAGCTAAGCTGGCAGAGATGAATCAATGTGGAATAACAATCTTTGCATTTACATGTATTTACCAACTTACAGCTAAATGATCTATATGGTGATCATCAGCTTGTTCAGATGACAAAACCTTAGATTTGAAATTAAGTCAACAAAATTATCCGAGAGCAGGAAACTGACTCAAATACATTATTTGACATTATGTTGCTGTGTCTAGAACACACAACCAAAATCCTATAGTCATGTAAGTGGCTGGTGACCTCTCTGCAGCCAGGACTGCCACCTAAAGCCTAGAGCTCAGAAACAGGCAGACATAGCTTTGCGAGACGGACATAATAGCAGTCTTTACAAAGATAAATACGACAGTTCTTAGCGAGTTATGAATATCAATGCTTTGCCTCATCTGTGACTGCTTTTAGCTGCACATTTAGTACCTTATCATGAAAAGTGGATCCTCACGGATTTTGTTTGCCATATCTAGGACAGAATTGGCACCTGTCTTGGCAAAAATGGAGCCTGGGAGAAGTCCTGTCTCATTGGAACAGCCAGCATCCTTGTCTTCTGTCTTCTCAAAGATGTATTTGTCCACAGGGCGACCCATAAGATATTCCTCTCTGTTCACCATGCCTCCAGGACCCTGGTACATCCACTCCAACTTCTCTTCTCTTTTCCTATTGCAAACAAGACCATCTTACTTTTCTTCTCACAATTCTAAAGCTACATTTTAAGGCACTGGCTTATGAATACAAACAGAAACATTTTATCTTCAGACACATTAAACCCATGGCACTCTCAGGTGCACCAGAGGCATCTGCACCATCTCATTGGACAGTGCTTGCGCCCAGAGGGTGCCCAGGGCTGGTTACCACCAGTCTGGGGGTCACCAGCACCCCCTCACCTGACAGTGCCCATGTCCTCAGCGTATCGCTGCATCTCCTCCCGCGCTCGCTCCTCCTGCAGCTCCCGCTGCAGCTCCTCGATCTTCTTCCGCTCGGCCTCATGCTTCTGCTCGGCTTTCCACACCTTTTCCACATTGCGCAGGGTCTGGGGGTGCCAGCTCTTCTTCAGGTTCTGCAGGAACAGGAGAGACCGGATCGGGACCGTTAACAAAGTGCCGCCAGAGGCCCGGCTCGGGTCCCCACGGGCCTTCCCTCACCGTCAGCCACGGGGAAAGGCCTGCTCAGAGCCCGGCTAGCCCGCAGCCTTTCGACCCCAGGGC